TCGAGGAAACTTTTCCCTGTGTCTCTTGACATACAGTTTTGTACAGTTACTGCATTTGAAAATTGACATGAGAGTACTGAGTGCCCACATGTTTCAATGCAAGTGGCAATCTGGCAGATCACTGCAGAACTATGATTTTCCAATCAATGTATGGTATGTGATATCCACTAATTGCACAAAGTGCAAAACTTCAAAACAGATTCCATTAGCTGTGTCTGGTTTCTAAAACCAGGAGTCATTCTTGTGCATTGTGGTATCACATCTAACACCTACAAAATCAGCAAAGATGAAACACTAAGGTTTTTTGCCGAGTTAATGGAACTACAATTCAGGTCATGTCTTAAAAGAGAAATTCTACAGTGAAATGCAATTTTCAGAAGTGTCTGTTACCTTCATTGTTTTTGGATCCAGTTTCGACCAGTGTGTAGGTGTAGAGATCTCCTTAGCTTCCCCATCATCCTTTTCCTCTTCATCCTGGCAAATAAAATTTAGAAATTATCACTCAGGAAGCTTGAAAGCATTTCAGTTATTTTTTAAATTCTGTTGCTGATCTGTTCAAGGTCACAACTCTTTCAGATAGTCTTCTCCTAAAGTTATTGTTTAGACAAGTTCACACACATTCTACCACTTTGTAAATGATCACAGTGCCACTCAGACAATACAAGCCAGATCTGTGGAACACAAAAGGGTGATAAGCAACACCACAAAGAATATTGGGGGTACACAGACACTGCTGGTCTCCTGCAACCACACAGTGTGTGATCTCCCCCCAGATTCTAAATCCCCAAATTACTCTTTGTTCAGTCAGACCTTCCCTTACTCCAAGATGTTGATCAGCCACAAGGCCTGGAACTCAGAATATTTCAGACTAGCATTTGTTCAGTTTCCAATAGTCACAATTAGAACTGGCCACAAGAGAGAATTTAGAAATTTTAGAAAATGGCAAAATGTTTAGAGACAGCTACTCAGGGACTGCATCTCACTCAACAACTGGTCCCAGATTCCAGCAACTACGTCTACGATCAGAAATTTTCTGCGCATCGTAAGCACAATTTAGTTCCATCTGTAGCATCAGCATACACACTTAAGAGTTAGTGAACTAGCTGAAACAAAAATACAACCAACATTCACTACACTGCTGAAAGCTGGTTTACCAGTCACTGTTACCAGTTATGTTCCTCCTGTGTATGTGTGTAGTGTAGTGTGTGGTGTGCATTTGTGCCTGTGTTCCTGTGCCTGTGAGAAGCAGAAATAGAAAAAGGGATTAGCGTTCAGTGCCTGTTCTCCATCAGCCTCCTTGCGTTCACCCTGAAGCTTCTCGACCAGCTGCTGCTTGTATCCTCGGGAGAGGGTTTCCCACTCTGAGCGGGTGGGAAGGCAATGCCAAACATCCGGGAAAAATAAAACCACTGTCTCCACATGAGCAGGAACTGTACGCCCCTTGTGGGTCTCCTCAGGGCGATGGTATCGAATCTCTGCAAAACGGTACCTGTTGCAAGGGAAGAAGCATGTTGGAAAAAAAATTCTACAATACATTTTTAAAGAGCCTAGATCACTTGTAGCACATCAAGTATAGAAACTTTGCTGCAAGACCTTGAGGTTTATCTAAAGAAAAAAATTATGGAAGCCATATTTTCTCTTTCGGCACTCTTCTGAAAGGCGTCACGACTGAGAAGGCACAACAACAAAATGCTTCTCATACAACTTGCTGTTTAGCACACGCGGGTTTAACATGCAAGCAGAAATTGTTGAAGTACTTTAAATTTAGCATACCATCGACTCTCCTGGTCTTAGTACCACTAGAATGAGTGTTAACACAGGACAGAAACTCATCAAGAGAAAATATGGCTGTGTCACAAACGGCTATTTATTTGTAACAAAAGAACAATGAAATGAAGTTCTCTTGACGATCTTCTCCAGCTATGCACAAAATGAAAAGTATTTTCAATGCACATTCATTAAAAAAGTTACAGTGTAACATGTCAAAATAAACCGGCTTTTTAATTAGTTCCTAATGCAGTATTCACCACAGTTGGCACCAATCAAGCTTATTACCAAACAGAACGTCCTTTGAGTAGTTTACCTGAACTACCAAGAGCGTCTGACAAAGCAAAAAGGTCTTTCCAGCCTTGTTTTTAACTCCTGGTAACAGACAAGTATTCCTACAGAGGGCTTGACTTTGCGGCCTAGTACTTACCATTGTGTGCACACACTTAAGTCAATCCCTGTAAGAGCCTTGCAACAACGGATAGCTGTCTTTATCAGCACGGAAGGGTCCTTCTCCGGGTCAGGTCCATCCAGTGATGGGGACCAGTGTCCTCCAATAGCCATAGCTTCGTCTTTGCCTTTCATACCCACTAAAAACTAGACAAAAAGAGTCTTCTGAATGTTCCCCTGGAGGGGGTGAAAAAGGCATTTCCCAAAGTGCACAGAATATCTCACAACACACACGCTGAAATCTGTGAGTAAAGCGTCACACTATTCTGAAATCTAAAAATGAAAGTCAGTCAAGAAAGAGTTCAGTTATTTTTTTTCCACAGATTATTTCAGCAATGGAATAGGTTTAAAACATCATCACTCATTCTTGTTTTCAAGACTTTCCATCAAGTTCATTTATTGGTATAGGCTTGTTCCTTTGCAATTAAAAGCTTCTCATACAAAGGATGAGCAGATATCCATTTAAACACTGCCTTAATCCTGATGCACATTTCTAGACATGCCTTCTTAAAAATGATAAAGCTACAAAAGATGAGGCCACAAGAGCATTAGGTCTGTAAACTGAAGTATTGTATTTTCCGTAAGACAGAGTTTAACTGAATAACAAGTCCCTCGTCCTCGGACACCACAGCACTTACAGGTTCTTCAGTTCAGTAATCACTAAGTTTCATTTAACCCAATGGTTGCTTCACTGTTGCTTCACGTGTGTTCTCTGCACCGCTGAGCCCTTACAAAGGTCTAAGTACTAACAAAGTTAATGGTTTGAGTTTAACTCAGTTGAACAAAGCAGTAAATACGAAACTCCAATCATCTGGAGAAAGAACTGACATATAAACTGTGTCTCTTCAGAGGAAAAATGAAGTCATCATTTAGCAGCCTACAAGCTCCTCCCTTACTGTCAAACACGGTACAGCTCTTCAAGCAGCCTTTGCAGCCAAAGGTGTCTGGCATTGAAGCATATTTACCTTTACAAGTCTAGCAGGATGCTGAAATCCATCACGAAGCTCTTGGGGATCTTCAGCCAGAGCACATGACTTATGATAGAGATCTTCCATGCTAGGACTAGCCATCAACATCACCTGTGGTGTAAGTCAGATAGTCTTGTGAAGGTTTTTCACCACGACTGGCAAACAATGATTACAACTTGCAAGAGACACAGCAAAATCTCACAAAGTTGCTTTATACTCTTAACAGGGGATATGATGAAACAAGAAGCTCTTTCTCAGATGGCAAGTGGATTGTCTTTCAGAAATACAGGGGTTAAAGGCAGTTTTGTTTCTAAACCTGTCTTTAACATGTAATACTTGGGAAACAGATTGACCTAGAAATCTCACACCTGTAATGGAAATGGAACTGGCCTCAGGGAAATATTTTGATACTGGTTTCTTTAAAACATGACCGCAGCCCTCAATGCAGCACTTTTGGCAGTCAGATAATCCCAGTAAGAGCCCTCAGTAAATATAAGACAGCTCTGGTAACAGCAAACCAAACTGAGTTTCAGCCATGACTTCAAGCTCTACATACTAGCTTTTCTCTTAAGAGTTTAAAACACTGTACTTTGCTCCAATCACTGCATTTTCAGTTCAGTTATACTCACTTTTGCACTCTATTGATCACAAAATGCCTAGTGAACAGCCATAGTAGTGGAAAGCCATACAAACCTTTGCACTGTACAGATGATCAGCATCGGGCGGATCAAGGACTGCAGCATTCTTATCTATAGGATCTACTTCTCTATGCATTACGTAGAAATTACAGTAGTTTCCCAGCTGAAATGGTCTAGACATAGGAAAAGCATCCACCCATGTAAACTGGGCATCAAAGAAATCGCTTGGGATGTACAAGTTCTGGTAACGCCTCCTGAGCTCCATCATATCACAGCTACGGCTGAAACAAACAGCATCACTTGAGAGACACAGCAACAAAAGAACTATTAACAAAGAACACAGCTGAGGGGTAAGTTAATTGGGAATACAACCACTCTGTGTTTACTATGTAAACTCTTAAGGGCACTCTACTTAGGTTAGAGTGTCATGGATTAAATTTAACATCAAGTAACACTCACCCAACTAAGGTCTCTGCATATCAGGGGATAGTCATTAAAAAGGGTTATAAAGCCATTTTGCAGCAGCATTCAACAATAACAGAGACCCTAAGAAAGTTTATCGTACAAGGTTCTCAGCCACTGCATATTTGATCTTTCTTTAAAGTCAAGATTATCATTTCACACCCACTTTCCAACACATGTTGCCCATGGCTAAAATGAGCTGTATGCAAACATCTGGCACCAGAAACATACCAGTCCAATGAGAACTTGGAAAACTGGATGGTGTAACGAGGAACAACACGCCGGGGTCTCCGAGGCGACCTCTCCCTCTCCCGCCGGGGTGACCTCTCTCTGGAGCGTTTTCGCTGGGGCGACCTCTCCCGGGACCTGCGTCTCTCTCGTTCTCTTTCACGACTTAAAAAATGCATACAAGATACAAGTATTTTTGCATGCTAGCAACACAAAATGGTTTCTAGCACAATAGAAGCCAGATCTGTCAAGAGGTGACTCAGAAAAAGGAGCAGTGCAGCATCTTAAAAGAGATTAATTATGCAACTCCTTTATTTCAGACAGACAAGAACTCTTCGCTAAGATCTAAGGGTAAAGCCACGTGTGCATTTCACTGGCTCACTCTGAAGCAAGCACCTCAGCTCGGTGTGAGCACAGGTCTTTATGGAATACTTGGAGTCTAGCCTTCCACAACATACCTCCTGTCATCCTTTCGGTTCGGCATAGGATCTCCACCTCTGTCATTCCTCCCAGAAAATCTGGATGGTGGGTCTAGTCTTCGAGCTGGTTGAGGCTGCGAAACCAGACGAACTGGAGGCTGTAACAACCCACCTGAAACAAAAGTGTACAAGATAAATATGTAAGAGGAGGCAACTATCTACACTTTGCAAACACTGCTGCTTTACAGCTGTCTCACTTGTGCGTATTTCATAAACTAACTCTAGATTCAAATAAATCTACTTATCATCCACACAAAAAAATTCAAGACACCTGAGCTTTTCTTCCCTGATGCAAATGGAGACTCCAGTAAATGAAACTGGTTAAGGTGCAAGCTAATAGAACCCAAGCACATAGATGCTATCACAGTCCAATGACAGGTGTGAGAAAAGGCTAAGTCTTTCCTTGGAAAAGTAAGCTAAGACAGATATACTACCTATGCATTGAACTGAGCTACATCTTATTTTTGAGGCTACTCAGAGGTAAAAACAACAGGTACCCTGAACAGTTATTCTTGACTCAATATATTGTACTGCTACATCAATCCCTCAGCACTTACTTTTGTTGTCTCAAGACATTTAACCAACTGCTTTAAATGCAGTAAATGTAACTAATCATCAAGAAACATCCAGAACTAGTTAAGAGTGTAGTAAGCATTCACCCAAAACAGTTCTGCTTAGGTGATAGCTTAGAATCTCCTATGCTTGCTTTTACTGTGGGTAATACAAGTCTTACTATCTTATTATCAGTTCTGTTACTGATTCCTCAGTCACTAAAGTTCTAGTGACCCCACAACCACCTTTCATTTAGGTTTGCCATGTCTGGCAGTGCTTCCTCTCTCAAATGCAAACCTGCTTAACTGAAATAAATAAAGAAGTAACAGTTTTAATGCCGCAACTGCATGAAACTCGATTTTGTTGAACACTGCAGAAGATGCTGAAGGATGCACTGCCATCGGTACTTTCCCCATTTGTTACCTCCCAACCTGACTGTAAAGAATAAAAATCCCATTGAATTGGCTTTCAGATTAGAGAATCTTAACATGAGCAGGAGCCCGTGGGGACTTCACTAGCCAAGTGTTTCCCGAGCTACCGCGGGCAACGTGGCTTGCACACAGCTGCAGGAAGGCACATTCAATCTGAACGTTCTCCAGAGTCCTCTCCATACCATTCCAACTACCACTTCAGTCCTCTGACTCACCAAAACTAATTACCACACCCTAAGC